TCAGCCCTCCTCACCCCTCCTCAGCCCCTCCTCAGCCCCTCCTCAGCCTCTCCTCAGCCCTCCTCAGCCCCTCCTCAGCCCCTCCTCAGCCTCTCCTCAGCCCCTCCTCAGCCCTCCTCAGCCCCTCACGCGCGCCCCGCGCCGCCACTTCGCGGCCGGAGTTCTGGGCGGGCTCGGCCCAACAGCCGCCCTGTCCGCGGCGCGTCCCTCCGGGTGGCGTCCGCCACACTTGGGAGCTTCTCGAAAACCCCGGGACGAGGCGCTAGCGCGGAGCTCGGGAACCCCGGGGGTTCCGGACCTCCCAGGGCTCTCGCCCTCCACACCCCCACGCCTCAGAGGCTTAAGTTGCTCGGCACCCCGCGGCGCGCGCGGCCCCGTCCCTCCCACTCCCGCCCCGCCCGGCTCGGCGCCCGGGTCTCCCGCCTCCGCGGAGGTGAGAGCGCACTCACCCGAGGTGAGCTGCATCCAGGCACAGATCTTGTACACGGTGGCCGTGTTGCAGAAGAAGAAGAGGGTAAAGCAGACGATGCAGGCGATGATGAGCATCATGGAGAGGCCGATGAAGAAGGAGGCGGCTTTGAAGGCGCCCGAGGGCAGCGTGGAGAAGTCCGTGAAGCTGCCCCTGCAGGTCAGCTCCCGGGAGAAGCCGTTGCCGATGCAGTAGTGGAAGAGCCCGAAATAGCCGGCTTGCGGGGTGTCCACGCCGTCGCCGATCCAGTAGGGCTGGATGAAGCACACCACGTTGACGATGGCAAAGCAGATGGTGAAGATGGCCCACAGCACGCCGATGGCCCGCGAGTTCCGCACATAGTTGGTGTGGTACAGCTTGGCAGCCTCCTGGGCCGGCAGCATCGCGGCGGCGGCGGCGGCGGCGGCGGCCGAGGCTCCGGGCATTCTCCCCCTCCTCCTCCGCCTCCTCCTCCTCCCCTTCCTCCTCCTCCTCCTCCTCCTCGCCCTCCGCCTCCCCCCGCCGCGGGCGCTCGGGAGACACACTCACCGAGCCGCGCGCGCTGCAACTCCCCTGCCTCCGCCTCAGCCCAGCAGCGCCAGTTTCGGAGTCTGCATTCTCGCTCCCGGAAGGAGGGCGGGGGAGCGCCGAGCACCCCTCGGCTCGCCTGGCTCAGCCTCCCGGCCCTCCTCCCTCCCTCCCTACGCCCCGGCCGGGGCTCCAGCCCCCTTCACCACTCCCCACCCCTCTCCCCGCCGCCGCCGCAGCAGCTGCAGCTGAAGGCGGCAAAGCCCGCGCGGGGCAGCGTGGCGCACGAGCTCGAGCGCCCCCCACTCGGCTTCCCGCCTTTCGCACTCCCCCCACCCCCAGCCGCGCCGCGGGCGTCCCCCGGCGCTGAGGACCGCGTCGACCCTGGGACGCCTGGGAAGCGGCGGGTGTGGACCCACCGGGAGTTGGGGAGCAGGAATCCGAGGGGGGGCGCGGGAACCTTAGTGGGATCCCGGCGGCCACCCTGGAACCGGCTGGTCAGGGCCCGGGTGCCCGAGGCGCCTGGTGCTAGCCCGTCAGCACCGCACAGCAACGTGCTCCGACCTCTGCATCTTTGCAGAGGCGCGAGGGACGGCGTGGTAGGTGCGAGCCAGACTCGCCAAGGATGAGAGGACATGCTGCCCCCAGGAGACCTCCCTGTGGCCGCCGCAGAACTGCCCTGGTGGGCTCCTCCGTTGCCTTGGGTCAACGCGGCGGTGACAGAAGTTGGGGAGAGCCTGGGAGACGGTTCAAGACACACCTCAAGGGCGGTCTCATACCTGCTGGTCTCCACCAAGCGCCCACCCCACCCCCGCCTCTGAAACCAAGGGGAAGTGGATTGAACTGTAGCAATGGATGCCCCATACTTTCCTTTTAGTCAGCTCGTTCCCCCAAAATAGTCTGCCATAGATGCAGCCAGTGAGTCACAGAAATGAATCGTTTGTCTAAAACATCAGGTAGTAGTTGTATTTATTTACACAGATAATCATTGGCAGCTTCCATGTGCCCAGGTACGGTGCTGGGTACTAAAGGCTACATGGAGGAGAACGGCAAATAGTCTTTCTCCATTTGCAGGTAGTTCCCCTCCCTCACAACCCTAAGCTCCAATAAAGTGAGAGTTGTTTTCAGAGTAATGTCCCCTGAATTATGCATAGATTTAATTCCTTACATTTTCATGTGGAATTGCTATTTTACACCTGCACTTTGTGCTATTTCTTAACCTTAATGTTTCTCCCTTAGTATCTGTATTGCTCTTTTAACAGTCCTTGCCTTTCAAACTTCCTTTCTTTATTGACATTGGTTACTTTTTTTGGTACCTTTTAATTCTGATATTAAAACACATAATCCCAGCTCAAAGCAATGAAACCAGAATGTTCAATAGCAGCAGATTTTGGTAACAAGCCATTCTGAACCACATGACCACTGACTCCTCTGAGGAGAAAGGAAAAAATTCTGTGATATTTTTGACCCCCAAGTTTATATTTAATTACATACTTTATTATTGTGCAAAAACATGTAAGCTTCTTGACACCATCTTGCCATTTTGCCCAATCTGTCCACCTTCTTACTGGGAGAGATGTGAGATACCAGCTAGAATTACCAGGAATGGGGAAGAAAGTTAAGAATGATCCTTTTGGAGCTGGATGGAGAGGGGAGAAGTTTTTCAGTGGGCTTTGCTTCATAAATGACTGTTGTGTGGAAGAGGGGTCATACCCTAACGGTGAAGACCAACAAGACCCTTCATCTGATAACCTGGAGAGCTGAGATTTTATGGTGAAAGACTGGAAATAAGGATGTGGGACACAGTAAAGAAGGAGCTGCTGCTGAAACTGGGAGAGAATTAAAAAGGGTGAGTGTTGGAATGTTGCATTCATTTTTTCCTGCAGATATGAAATTCAAGTATTGTAGTCTATTAAGTAGAACTTTTGATATCAGGAGGATAGAATTAAATAGCATGAAACTTGTAAGTTTGGGTGAAAGAATTTCTTGCCAGTATGATTGTAGTCTCTCAAGAGGTCTCTAAAAAAATTAGAGGGATTTGGGGAAGGTGGGGAGGATGACCTAAATTTGAGCCAGCCCAATATAACACTTGCAAGTCTCTAAAAATATAATTCATGATGATGCATCATCAGTGCACTGGTGGCAAAGGGGCGGGGGTGGGGGGGGTCAGAACTTCTGTTAAGTTTCATTTGTCCTAACTTCCTTGAAGTTGCTGCTAAGTCAGAAAATCAGAAGAGTCTTAACATGGAAGAAGGAAGAGGAAAGGTGAAGGCAATCAGATTTATGGAACCATCTGGAGAGCGTGTGTCCCAAGGGAAGAGATAGCTTTACAGCAATAAGTGGCAGTAATTTCTGGTGACTCTTCCAAGCCCTCAAATCCCCCAAAACCTGCTTGTATGAAGTGATCTTTCTTTAAAATCAATGTCAAAAAGAGATCTTAGAGTTCGAGCAGTGGCTGACATGAAAGGTTGCCATGAGGGAAAAGCTGAGAATCAAAAAAACGCCTAGTTTAGACCTCAGTGCTTAAATTACATTTACAGGACAAAGAAAAGAGTGGTGAGTGACTCAGATTAAAATGTGATTCAAAGAGCTTTTCTATTTGAGTCATGCCCAAGGAGGGCCTTATTCTTATCCCAGGTTTGGAATTGCCTCTGGGTTGGAATCACTATGCCAAAGGGCGCACTCAAGGTGTCCACTCTTGTCAGCAACAACTAGGAAGAGATCAAGTTGGTATAATGCTGATCTAAAATGCCCCTGCGGATTCCCCCAGAGATTATAAGGTTGTTACTCTTTGAGGTGGGGTAGTACTCAGTGATGAACTGAACCCTGCCAATTCTCCCCACTTCTATAGTGCCGAGCACAACAACGGATTTCCAGGAAGAAGCAAGATCTCCCAAGATCTTGGCACGAATGATGGCAACCTCACAGTTGCCATCAGTGAATTCATACTGTCCTTCATCTTTTTATTTTTAAAATATTTATTTATTTATTTATTTATACAAGCACTGGGTACAGTCAGAGTGGGGAGCAGAACAGGCAGACTGACGAAATACACTGCTGAGGGGAGCAGCGGGCAGCAGGAGAGGTCTGCGAGCCATGTGGGACCCTCGCAGGTGGCCGGGTGGCCAGGTGGCCGGGGATCGAACCAGCGCTGCAGAGGCTGCGGGCAGCCTCTCAGCCCAGCGCTCAACCACTGAGCCACCAGGGGAGGCCCTCCTTCATCTTTTTAAATCCTTCTGTTGCACATTCCCAACCTTGCCCTTGGCCACCAGAAACCTCAGCGTTAAGACTTCCTACTCTTAGTCTAAAGCTTGTGTCTGGCATCATGCAGAGTTTAGGAATTTAGCAGTTAAAGCATTGAGGCAACTCCTTACATTCATTAAATACATGACAAAGGAAAGCTGTTATGGGGAGGAGAAAATAATAAAACTAGCTTGATTCATGTGAAAATGTTACTATTGATAGAAAAGTATTTTGAAACTATAACATGATTCATATGTACTAAATAACTAGTAGAAGTCAGTGTCATTGACAGCATCAAATTAGAAACACTGAACACTCAAATCTCAAACTTCACTGTTAAAAATAGATGTTTCTCTTACTGCCACAAAGGGTCAGTAGTGAGACCCACTCTTTTCCCAACTGTCTTAATAAATGTTAGAACTATAAAAGAGAAAATAACAGAATGGTTGGATTGTGTAACACTACTGAAAAAACATTCTGGGTAAGTTACTAAACTACACCTTTTGATTCCAAGCTAAGCTGTGATGACATGGGAGAATGTGAAAGCGTAGGAGGTCAAGAGGCTTAGGACCCAGACTAGCACCGTTTGCCTAACTGTGAGAGCCCAAGGCTCTAGGGGTTTCCATTTTCTCATCTCTAGGATTATGTCAAGGGAGAGGGAATATCAAATAAATCCTATGGTCCTTCCTGCAGTAAAATTCTATTACACTCTACAAAGACAATTCCAAGATGATTTTACAAAAAAGAAAAAAAAAAGGATAAAACCCAGTACTTACAAAATAAAAAATTGAAGTGAGACCTAGCAAGAGATAGCAGATTAATGAAGCAGACATTTTATTTAAAATTGAAAGCCACTTCTGAAGTCCAGTTTTATTTTTTTCAGACGAGTACTTAACGTTTTCAGGTGAGTCATTGCTGTGACCTTGGAAAATAGAGAAAGAGATGATATCTAAAATCTGTTACTTAATTGATTTCTAGAGCAATTACTGTCAGGATCAGAATATAAAGATTCTAATGAAGCTTTTTTCACTCACCAAGAATTTCCTTCTGCCAATTTCCCCACCTAGTTTCTTTTTGTGCTTTTTAAAAATCAGGAAACAACTCTTAGTTAATGGTGGCAACCAGCTGAAATGAGTATTTCAGCAGCCCCCTGCAAATAAATATCAAATTGATCACAAAACTGATTGTAGATAGGTCTATACATACCACTTTGCTACTAGATGTGAACACCACACTAAAGAGAAATGAAAACTAAGAATATCAATTGTCCTCCTTCTTTCCCCTTTTTCTCTATTTTGAATTTCATTCTATGTAAAAGTAACAATTTTTATAAGTTTTTTTTACTTTTTCAGAACCCACATAGGAGTATAAGTTTTTTTCTTAGAAGACTCAACAACTTTACAACTTGTACTACAAGAATCATTTCTCTGCTAACCTAATTTTAAAGCCCTTGCTGATTTCAGGACATGTCAGTCTAAAGGTAAATAATGAACTCTATTGGATAAAATAATATAGAAACATGACCATCATCTGAGATAGGATTTTTAAAAATCTTTCATGGAACAATATTATATTAAAGTTTTGTTATTAGCTCTATTCTCTTTCAATCTACTTGCTCTTCCTGATCTTTAAAACAATAAATTCTATTCATTTTGAATAGATTTTATTCATTTTAAATGCTTTTTTTTTTTAAACTTTTAAACCTGGCTCATGCAGTTTCCCATTCAAGGAGAGACTTCATTAAAATTCAACATTTTCAGGCCTCCCTGGTATCACAGGTGGTTGGGTGCCACACTGTAAAGCTGTCCGCAGCCTCTGCAGCGCGGGTTCGATTCTGGCCTGCTGTCGAGAATCCCACATGGCTAAGCAGACCTCTCTAGTCTTGCCTGCTGCTCCCCTCAGCAGTGTATTTCATCAGTCTGCCTGTTCTGTTTCCTGCTGTCTCTGGTGAATCCTCTCACCCTCCCGCACATCTGGCCTGTACCCAGGTTCTTGTATAAATAAATAAATCTTTTAAAAAAAAAATCAACAGTGTCATTTATAACATCTACCCTGTACATTTCATTTTGGGCTCTGGTAATGGCAGACAAAGTTTGTGTCCCCTACTTGACAATAATTTGAGTCTCTCAAACCATAGTTTTAGCCTTTTTGAGAATCTCCCCAAGCAACATAATGTATATTTTAAGTCATATACCCCTAAATGCCCCTCTAAATGTGAGGATGCTTTCTTTTACTGCTATAATGACAAAACATTAATCTTCAATGCTTCTGTTGAAGAGGTATATTTTTATGCCTGTGTCAGTCAGCATGTGCTACAGAAGCAGCCCAAACTCTCAGTGGCTTATAACCTCAGAGACTTCTAACCCACACCACATGATAGTTACTGATTGGCCCAAGCCCTGCTTCAGACAGTGGACCTGATTGCATATTGCCTGGTATTCTCATTCTGAGATCCAAGTTGATGGAACAGCTCTTATCTGCTGTTGTTGGCATAGAGACAGAAGTATAAGAAGCTGAGACCAATGATAAAATATCTGCTTAAATATAACATCTGACCTCTCGTATCATATTTATTGGCCAAAGTATAACATGAAGAAGCCATAAGTCAATGTTTTGGGGAGATATAATTCTCTTTTTTTGGGCGAGATAGGAAAGGTCTGTCGCGCCATGTGGGACCCTCTCCGGCGGCTGGGGGTCGAGCTGGCACTGCAGAGGCTGCAGAGGCTGCAGAGGCTGCAGAGGCCGCAGAGGCCGCAGAGGCTACAGAGGCTGTAGAGGCTGCAGAGGCTGCAGAGGCTGCAGGCAGCTTTGCAGCCCAGCGCTCTTCTGCTGTGCCACCAGGGGAGGCCCTGTTTTAGGGAGATATAATTCTCTTAAAAGAAACAAATGAGTACAAAATCAAGAACTTTAATCAAATCTACCACATCCATTCTCTGGTTAAATTTTTAACAACACTTTTCATGTTTCCTGGAATTACTATATGCATAATTTACTTTTATTTAAACATGACAGACTATTTCATTTTGGATAAACATTTCATTTCACTTAATCTTTTATTGAAGAATCTGCCTTGTTTTATTTCCCATGGAAAACTTAACAAACTAAAAAATGGTCCTATGAGAAGATAAATTCATAATGAATTTCTTTACAATACTCAGAAATGTTATGGTTCTTTGTGTTAAGGTGTATATGATCAAAAATGGCATTTAATTTCAAGATGGAGAAAATGTATTTGTGAATTCTCACAAGTCTACATAGTCTTTTTCAAACATGATTATGAAATCTTTTCTTCTTTTGAACCAACATTTTATATTAAATAAGTTTCAGATGTATATCACTATACTTCAACATCTATATATACTATACTATGATAACTGCCAAAAGTCTAGTTTCCACCTACTACCATACAATTGACCCCCTTTACCCATTTCACCCACACCCCAGTCCTGTCCTCTCCTGTAGTCACCAATTTCCTCTTTGAATTTGAATCTTTTCAAGGAAAAAATAAGCCCTAATATACTCATAGCATTGAGAACATCGTTGTAATGTTACTTAAAGGTACACAGTAAATCTTAAAAGCATAAAAATTTAATCAACTTTCCATCATGGCATCTTGAAGATATCAGTGTCCCCTCCCTACAAACATGTATGAAATTGAATGGAATTGTCAAAATAGTCATTTTAAGTCTGAAGTTTGACCAAAGGCAAACAACAAACCAAGAGGTTCATGAAGAACTGCTGCAATTTTGACAAGAAAAGTGGGAGTCTGCTCCTCTTGCCTAGAGCAATTCCCTTCCTACTTTTCCCCACCCATCTCTCTCCCTCCCGCCTCCCCCCACCCCCTTCCTCCTTTTCTCTCTCTTTCTCTCTCTCTCTCTCTCTCTCTCTCTCTCTCTCTCACAGTACATTGTTTTAGCAGAACAGGGCTAGGGGTGAATGCCATCAAGTTCTAACAGAAGAGGTAACCTTGAAAATGAAGGAGTCACAGAGTCACAGAATACCAAGTTACATTCTCCAAAGTGCAAAGAAATAGCAAAGTTTAACCCTTACTCAGAAGAAATATTTATCTGTATAAACAAACTTCAAGTGGGCCCGATGTTTTACCAGATTAAAAACTTCAAACACCCATTTAAAATGTTTGTTGAAAGGAAACCATGTTTAAAGAACTAAATTATATATAATAACTATTATTCAACAAGGTGAGACTTTCAATAGAGAAATATATAAACTATGAGAAGGAACCTTGTGGTCCTTATCTCTGGAGGCTTCCTTAACTCTCCTGAAGTCCCTGCACTGTCCTGGAGGCTGCCTAATTATCCCTAACTTGCCCTAGGATTCAGTACTACTTAACAAAAATATTTTTCTTAAATATTATTTATTCACTTATAACAGTAGTGCAATTGCTACACATAAAGATGACATAAATTCAGTAAGTCCTCTCTCACTTTGAATTGACCACTGTTTATCTGGCACAAGTTTTTTAGATGTGTGGTCTCTAGACTACAATGTGCCCTATGGTGACTTAATAGTCTCATCACTTTTCTACTTCCAAGTTATTACAACTTACTGTTCCTTTGCACAGTTGGACCATAATGTGCTGTGACTTTACTTGGTGCCTAGATATCATTCACTAAAATGTAAACTCCACAGGACCAGTAACTTTTACTGATTCGCTGCTGTTGCCCCAAGCATAGAACAGAACAGTGCATGGCATATTGCAAATATCGAAAGAATGAATGAATTCATTTGCACATAAAGACCAATTCTGTTATATGTTACTACTTCACAATATTATTCTAATGTACTATATCATTTTCAAATGATAGTTCACAGTCACAAAATAAGATATTTACACCTTATTTTATGAAAATGACTTTCAGTTGCAAATTAGCATTACAGAACAGAAGACCATTGTTTTCGGTTTCGTGGTGGAGTTGGATGTGCTTACTAACTCATTTAAATCTACACTATTTGTGGCCTCCCTGGTGGCACAAGGGGTTGAGCACCGAACTATGAAGCAATCCAGTCTCTGCAGTGCGAGTTGGATCCCTGGCCAGCCACGGAGAAACACGCATGGTGCAGCAGACCTCTCCTGACTCGCCCACTGCTCCCCACAGCAGTGTACTTTGGTCAGTCTGCCTGTTCTATTCCCTGCTCTGTCTCTGGTGAGTCTCCTCACCAACAAACCCACACCTCCTCCGCATCTCTCTGGCCTGTACCCCAGCTCTTATATGCATAAATAAATAAATCTTTGAAAAAAAAATAAATCTACACTCTTTGGTGGATCACGCATCATCAACGCTATCATAAATACAGAGCCTGCCCCACTCCAAACTGTTTGTCAGTCTGTTTCTCCATGAGATAATAAGTATATCAGATAATTTGAAATATGCTCATATTAATCTTTAAAATATCATCTAATTAAAATACATAATAAAGACTTCTCCTAGAGAACATGCAAATGCTGAAGAACATTTCATGTACATCTGTTAAGAAGCACTGGCCTGTATCATTGTGCAATTCACTCAGTAGTGTTTCTCAGCATCAAAATTCATTTATGTCCACACTAAAAGGATGAAATAGTGCTTCAACTAATTATAATGGATGGGAAGGGTATTCTTCTTATTAAATTTTTCATTGAAAACACCTGCTTTTAAATATTGTTTGAGCCCAAGTCATTCCTACTATATTTTATTTTTGAGAATTCTTACATCTCAGCTGAGTATTTCTTTAAATGCTCATGCCAATTCTTTCCCTGAAGACAGGGGCAAGGATTACTGGAACAAGGGACTACACACTGGGAAAGGAGAGGGGGAATTCAAGACTGCTCACCAAAAACTAGGCTACCCCCTGGCAGAGGCAATGGCAACCCTTTGGGAAAGAAGACCAGATATACTCCCAAATTTCCCTCACAGAATGTCAGTTTTAACACCTTTGCATATGGGCGTCTGACACACATAGAATTCATTCTCTTCATTCTTTGATATAAACAAATACTAGCTAGTACTGTTACAGGGCAGGGAAAGGGGCAGCCCAGACCCCGCAAACCTGCCTGCTCTAAATAGGTTCTGCCATGCGCCGCATCAACACAAAACATATGAGACTTTAAAGAAAAGGAACTTTCATACAATTAGCAAACAACACAGGAAA